AAGATTTCTCAAAGAAAGGGACCTGCTGCTAAGAGCGATTAATATATGTTCACAGCTTGCAGCTGAAGCCTGATGATGGCTGTAGGATAAAGGACATCACCCAGATGACATTTTGCCTCCAAAGCTCTGGGGAACAATTGTGGAAGAACTGCAGGGATATTCTGTTAGAACGTTCTTGTGTCTGGATAGGATGAGAACTGTCTTATAACAAAGTGCAGCCCCCACGTCTGAGGGCATGTTTCTTGTGTTTAGGCACTTCCGAAGCAGGGAGCACCTTCAAGGGGCACTGGTCTTCCCAGAAACAGTGTTTGACCTGTGATGATGTCCCGGGGGCAGGGGACCTAGAAAAAGACCTTAGCCTTCCCATAAGGCATGATTCTTCTCCTCTAGAGAGCCTCAAAAGTCAAGTCAAGTAGTAAGCATCCTGTGCTCCAGTCTGGGGCCACAGACACACACAAGAACTGGAGCAAAACCAAACATAGTGTATCATCACCACTGAGCCCCCAGGAGCCCCCAGATGCTTCTGAACATCAAAGCAGAAAGACGCTCTCAGAGATCAGGTTGAACGCCGTGGGTTAGGTGTGTGACATTGTCTCTGGGTCCCTGCTTTGGTTTAATTAAACTAAGTCTGCTGGTGAATTGGTTCCCAAATGTTCATTGGTGGATGGGCGGCATCAGAATTGTCTACATCTTTTAAAAAACACTTACGTAAAACTTCTGCATGTCTTCCTGTGAGAGTTTGATTTTCAGCAGGCTTGGGGTGGATTCCTACTTTTAAGAACTCCCCACGCCCATCCTAAGTGATTGTGACTCCCGGTAAGTGAATGCTGACAAATTGAACCTGCCAGCATGGACATTTATTTATGAAATAAATGAACATTAATTTCATACTCTTTCTATGGATTCAAGGTGGTGCTGGATCCACAGGCTCACCTGGCCCCCCAGCTTTCCCTGCAGAATCTGCCATTGTGCCTTAAATCCCGCAAGAAGTCGCTTATCCTGTGCCGCTGGAGCTCTTGATTGGCTGTGACTGAGATGGGACTTTAAGTTCTCACCAGGATAAAAAGTGGGGTTCCGACTTTACTGCCTTCTGAACCCTGCTGATCTGTCCTCAGCCAAGAGCTTGATTTTCTTCTGAAGAGCAGTGTTTTTTCAACTGTGGTTGAAATCTGTTCATGGGTTCTAAAATCAATTGTTGAGGATGCAACCATTTTGAATTAATTTTTAATTCAAAACATTAAATAGACTAGAAATTTTTAATTTTTAATTCAAAAAATGGACTAGAAAAAAATCAGAATGCATCACGTATGGTAGGGATAAGTGAAATTCTTTCTGTAAAACTTGTTTTGGAGGGTACGTTATGCATTGGGCTACTGTGTATTTCTTACTATGTTTCACAGGGAAACTGCTGTCCTCTCTGCAGTACAATATAAATCAACAATGGCCCTAACTTCCTTAAGACAGCTCTCATTTCTGCTTGCAGAGGACAGATGGAAAAAGTCACCAGGGAGGGTAGACTGCCATATACAAGTACTTCAGGGAGGCTACCTGGAAACTAACAGAAAACCAATTTGTGGATGATTGCAGAGCCTGGGGAGAGAAATCAATCTTGGACAGTCTTATGGATGGCAGCCAACAGCCCACCACGCCCAGCCCATTGCACCTGTCACCTGGGGACAAGCAGGGTCTATCTGGAACGGACTCTGGCCAGGATTCGGTTTCCCTTTCCCTGAAATGGGGATAATCACCCTCTTGACTATTGCTGTTATGGGAAAGGCCAAATTAGGGGAAAAAATTCTGTCCAATAAAGGATGAACCACAAAGCTCAGGTCAGTAATGGCCTCTATTGGTGGTTTGGGAGGTGTGCTTTTATGGGCATTAAGGGAGAAAGAGAAAGTCTGCACTCAAATCAAGTCTAGGCAATGTGGGAGTTGGAAAGAGACACGTGGGAGCACAGACCCAGTCACCTGAAGGCAAGGAGCCTTTCTTTTTCCTCCTCTTGGCAGGCAGTGTGGGCTCCTGGGCCCCAAGCAGGATCCCTTAGGGCTGATCTCTTACCACACACTGGTCTGACTCGGTGACCTAGAAGAGGATAGTCGGAGCCAACAGGATGAGGGGATGAGCTTGGAGGGCATCTATTGTGTGCCACCCTTGAGTGGCTGGAAATATCTTCTGCCACTTTGTGAGGGGCTGGGGGCTGGGGAGTGGGAGTGGCAAGGGAACACGGGGTGGTAAACTGTTCCCAGGGCTGCTGATTTTGGAGCAGTCTGACTACTCTCTCTTCTTAGTGGGAAAGAAAGAAGGAAGAAGGGGGAAGGGATGCTTTTGGAGGGGAGCTCAAAGGGTGGGATAAAAGCAAGCCTTCAAGAACATCACTAAAGGGTCTGAAGTGAAAGACCCCAATGAACAAAAAGCCCCCTAATTCAAACAGTGCCACTAACACCAAAACCTGTAAAGTGGTCTAGAGAGACGCTGGTCATGTCTGTCACTTTCCTTTTTAAAGCTCTCATGAAGTTAATGAATGAAAAAAATTGCTAATGCAAAGATGGAAATTAATAAAAACAAAAGCATGCTTCATATTGCAGGGTGACCACCTCTAATCCTACCAGCAATCCTGTGGCTGTCCCTGTAACTTCCTTTGGCAACACCATGCTTTGAGAAGCTGTGGGGGAGGCTGGCCAGGGAGAGGGCCTCACCCACCTATTCTGCCAGCTGATCCCCCAGAGGGCTGCAAGGCTCCTGATTTACCCAGAGCTCTGGAGTGGCTGAGGCTGGGCCCTGGGGTTGGATGGTTCTCACCAAGAGGCCTGGGACGTCTGCTCTGTGCTAAGCTCTGAGGCAGACTACAGAGGAGATAAAGACGAATCAGACCGTTGTATACATTGCACATGCCTTTTCTGAACTGAAAAAGAGAAGAACAAACAAGACAAGACAAAAATATTGGAAAAAAAAAAAAAGAAAAAGAATCAAATGTGTAGAAAATGCAAGGTCATTAGAACTGCCCAGGGCTTCATTCAGGCAAAGATCTTGAGGGTCTGGCCAAGGACCTGCTGAGTAAATCTAGCTCTGGTTCCCCTCCCACAGATTCCCTGCCCCTCCTTCAACTGCATAACCAAGTCTCTCCACCTCCCAACCTTCCTTGAGCTATTCTGCTATTTCCTTCACGTTCGTTTTTTCACTATAACCCACACATGGTATAAGGTTGAATGAAGGCATTTATTTGTAAAACCAATTCTCAATGGGGGAGAGATTGTATCCATAGAAAGTAAACCAGTGATCGTTCAGAGGGCCACATGCACGCATTAGTGAAACCAAGGGAAAAGCCAAAAAGACAGCACTGCTGCGGACGACCCGCGTGGCTACTAATCCTGCCAACAGAAAAGCAAAATGTCCTTTCCGCTTGAGAACACGGATGCACCAAGATGTCCTGTGAGAAGGCAATTTGGTCTGACATCCACGATGAAGTGATCAGGGAACAAGTGGGGGAGCGACTTTTTCTATTCCGTGTGGCCTGTTGCTTCCCGCAGAAACTGGCTGACCGCTTCCGTGGTCCTCCCCTCTCCAGTGGGAGGGAGGTGGTGTCAAATCCCTGGCCTTCTCACATGCCCATCCTTATGCTCTGAATGATCTGAAAGATAGCTGAAAGAGGAAAACACAACAGCTCAGACACCAGACTGCACACAGCTGGAAACCCAGCCCACAGTGAGCCGGGCTTCTGCAGACCCCCGGGCCCTGACGTGTTAGTTCACAGCTGATTAGATATTTCCTAACAAGGAGTTAAGTTAACAAGAGGTCAGTGAACTTCTTTAAAAAGGCAGCCTCGCTCAGTCGGCTGATGGATGCCTCAGGGATTTATAGATAACTCCTGCTAATTCCACCAGCAGTTAAGGCCAGAAATCCCTCAGGCATTGAGAGGAGATTTGGCCCCCTTCCCCAGCAAAGTTCTGGGGCTGCCTGGGAGAGGGATATGGGCTTTCGTGCAGAAACTGCACTCATTAAACAGGTCAGTGAGTCTGCCTTTTCAAAATGGCTGTGACCTGTAAAACAATCAGCCCTGTGCTGGGAAGGCAGACCAGGTGCTCTGAGCAGCCCACGGGGCCAGCCTCGGGCTGCCCAGAACCCTCCATGCGTGCGTATCTTCCGGCTACAGGGAACTCTCTGGAAGGCAGCTGTCTCTCATGGAGAGCCGCACTGATTTATTCAGGGCTCAATCTTTAATAACTGGGGTTGTCAAGGGGCTGGGTAGCCCATAAGCCCACAGAGAACTCCTGGGACCCCTGCCCATGTGGATGAGAGCTGGTTACATAGCTTCAGCCTGCTTCCAGCTACTGGGTTTCAAATGTGTCCCAGGAGAGGAAGATCCCAACTTCTTTTTCACATCTTTCTCAGTGAGCAACCTTGGTCAGTGCTGACAAAGATGACGGTAATGATAAGAGTAACTACCATGGTTTTCATCATGGTGACACTGAACATTCATGGAAAGTTGGCAAAACAAAAAATTGAATTTTTTTTTTTTTTTTAAGGAGGGTGGGTATTATCGCATCTAACTATGTGTAAAAACAGAATAAACACTGAGCTCTCAGGGGTCTTACCCCTTCTCGCCTTCATAAAGTCATCCTGGAATACATCCAGGATCCACGGTAAAACAGAGTTATCCAGAACCCTAGGACACAAGTCATTCAACGTTTCATCATCCGGCATCAGTGAGCACATCCTCTGTATCAGACACCGCACTTCGAGGATACAAAGAGAAACGATGCACGGAACCTTGGGGAATTGTTCTTGGACACCTGGGTTTTAAGGGTAGACAAACACGAATGCATTTTTTTGGCTTTTTTCCCCTAAAACCACTGCACCCATCATCACTACCTTTCTGAATTAGAGATACCAACATATTTCAATGCCAACTTTCCATGAATGTTTGGTGTCACCATGATGAAAACCAGTAACTGATGAGATGTGCTGTGATCTGGCTACAGAGGAGGCAGCGTTTGATCTGACACTGAAATGCTTCTGGTCAGCTGCACTTCCAGGCTCTCATTTCTGCTTCTGATCATTTTTTGGGTCTCTTTCTTCTCATCTCTGGTATTACTATACCCATCTGCAGTGGGCCCTCTACTATTATTTTGTTGCTATAGACTAAGCTGAAAACAGAAACTGTTAGAATTATGAGTCAAATCAGAGTAAATCAGCTCCATGTGAGTGTCAGGGATTCATCTGTAGATATGGTGAAGGTGTTGGTTCAACAACTTGTGATACTGAATTCTGGATGTGCTCAGATGTTTTCTTAGCTAAGTTTGGGTTCTTGGGCGGGTCTTAACAGGAGCAGTTGGTAGATGGAAGAGAAAGTACCCTATAACAATTTATAAGCTTGCAGAAATATCTGATGTTCCTTTCCTCCCCACCAAGGCTCACAAGGAATAAAAATTAAATAAACATTCTGTATTGTGGCTCAATGGGAATGCCAGGAGGCAGCTGTATATTCAACATTAGAAAAAAAAATTACATCTACCATGCCTCAGACTTTGTTCTTGTGATCAGGGAACTATTGCTAATCCTGACAAACAAGTTGACTTTAGAGCAGAAAGTTAGGATCAGATGAAGTTGGGTTGAATATCAGCTCTTTGCTGAAAAGCTGTGTGACTGGACAAATAATTAACCTCTTCGAGGCTGCTTCCTGTTCTGTAAAATGAGGATCATGGCCCCTGCAGGGCTATCATAGGGATTAAACCACATGTCATATAGGAAGGGTCCTCACACATGGAGGACTCAGTGCCTGGTAGCTACTGCTATCATCACTGTTACCATGACTTCAACAACTGCTGCTTCTCCGTGTCCCAGTATGCAGACCAGCGCTTAGCACATCTGCCACCCAACAAAGCTGTGAACTTTGGGAAATTACTACACGGTTCTCAGCCTGCTTTCTCTACCTGTAAAACTGTGGATAATAAGTACCTCAAAGGATGGCAAGGAATAAATAGGATGACATAAGTAGATGCTCAAAAATATTACTTCTTACTTACTCTTGCCCTTAGACAAAAAATTATCAGCAGGATGTAAGTCAACAAACAGGAAACCATCGGTGTCTCAGTCCATATAGCCCCCATATTAAGTTAATTCATAACTTCAAAAGTTCTAGGTAATAATACGAAACCGTGCAATTCTTTTTTAAGGAACTGTTACAAATCTCTCTAAGGAATCTAAGACAGGGCAGGTGCGGTGGCTCATGCCTGTAATCCCAGCACTTTGGGAGGCCAAGGCAGGCAGATCACGAGGTCAAGAGATGGAGACCATCCTGGCCAACACGGTGAAACCCCGTCTCTACTAAAAGTACAAAATTAGCTGGGTGTGGTGGTGCCAGCTACGTGGGAGGCAGGAGAATCGCTTGAACCCGGCAGGTGGAGGTTGCAGTGAGCCGAGATTGCGCCATTGCACTCCAGCCTGGGGGACAGAGCACGACTATCTCAAAAAAAATAAAAAAAATAAAAATAAAATAAAAATAAAAATAATAAAAAAAAATCTAAGATAAAGTTTGTATGTCTCAGAACAGCGATACTGATGTTAAAATAACTTATCTAGTTCTTTGAGTTTGCTTTAAAAACTGAGGATCATTCCTGATCATAATTGAATCCATGAATTAACGTGTAAGAGTCCAGCGATCCTTAACATGTTCACAGATGAACCTTCTTGGAGACACTACTTTGGATAAAGTCTATTTTTTAAGTTCACCATTTACCTCCATAAGATAACAGTTGTGTTTATTATTTCTTTTTCAGTTGTATCATGGTCTTTAAGAAAACTTACACATCTCATACTAATTATATTAACTGTAATCCTGTGTACCTGCCAATACTGACCTGCAGAGTAACCTCCGCCTTCCAAATGCTGACTTTCTGAGGCGGCAAATGGGAAGGGAGCCAGCAGTGAGTTCAAAAGAGGGAAAGGAAGCGGGGAGTCTAGACCCTGACAAGTTAATAACTTAACAGTGGGTGAACAAAGCTGAGAAAACAGCAGAGCAGGCTGCAGGAGAGGAACTGTGGGCAGGCGAGACAGCGGGGAGGAGAGATGCCAAGAAAGGGAGGGACAGCAGGCATTCCAGGGCAGGCGATCAGGGTGTGGGCAGGTCCCAGAGGTTCAGAAAAGTCCAGGCGAGAGCAGGAGCTACGAGACCCACGAAGCCTCTGCATCCTCCTACCTGTGTCAAGGATCCTGGCCCTTGGTAACCTTAGATGATCCCATTTCTCTTTTTTCAACCTCCCCCTTTCAATGAAGTCTTTAGGCTTTAACATGCTAGGAGCACTCCCACTGCAAAATCAAACACACCAAAGCTATGTGCCTGACTCCACATCCCTATCCACAGGGCCCTCTCTTCCTCTTCACAACCATTTCTAAAGAGCTGTCTATGCTCACTTTCTGCACTCTCTTACCTGCTATTCTCGTGTCAATCCACCTCATTTTAGCTTCTGCTCTCTTCCCTCCATTGAACATCTTCTGCTAAAGTCACAAATGACTTTTGGGTCGCTTAGTGTAACAGGTGTTCTTCCACCTTCTCTTGTCTTACCCCCTACTCACCCCTGCTGGGCACTTCCTGTTGGAAACTCTCTTCCCTCGGCCTCTGTGAAACCATGGTCTTCTAGGTTCTAGTTTTCCTCCTTCTCTTGGCTCTTTCCTCTAAGCTTATTTTAGAGGAAACAATCCACTTGACCATTAAACATGGGCGCTGACATTCTGCAATGAACGTTACTAGCTTTCTTCTCATTACATTCTTCCTCCTTAGGCGATGCCTCCCAGCCCACAGTTTGAATTGCCACCTAGCTGTTGATGATGCACAAATGTGTATTTCCAGCCCTGACTTCTCTGAGCTCCAGCACACCTTCCACTATCTACTTGATATTTGCACCTGGGTGGCTCAGAGGTACCTCAGACTCAACAGGACCTTCTCATGATCTCTTCCCACTGCTAAAACTGGCATCATTATCTTCCATCTTGCATGTAGACTCAAAACACCACAGTCCTTCCTGACACCTCCAATTGATAACCAAGACCTGTGGATTTTACCTGGGAATCTTGTGATTATGCACCCTTCTTTCCATTCCTCAGAAGCCACCCTAGTCCAAGTTACCATCATTCTCCCCAAGACCCCAGTGAGGCCCTCCTAGTGCTCGACTCTTGTTCTTCTTCCATCCTTTCTCCATACTGTAGCTAGAATTATCCTTTCAATAAAAGCAAATAATATATTGTCACTCCCGTGTTTACTGCACATCAAAAGCTTCCCGTTGCCCAGTCCCTGATGAGGCCTCCATGACCTGCACATCCTGGCCCCTGTCCAGACCTGTCAGACTCACCTTGTATCACTCTTCTCCTTGCTTCTTGGGGCACTCCCTCATGTTTTCAAAAGCTCCCTGTTCTCCCCACAGTTTTTTTTTTTTTTTTTTTTTTTTTTTTTTTTTTTTTTGGAGATGGAGTCTTGCTCTGTCACCAGCCTAGAGTGTAGTAGCACGATCTCGGCTCACTGCAACTTCTGCCTTCCAGGTTCAAGCGATTCTCCAGCCTCAGCCTCCTGAGTAGCTGGGACTACAGGCATGCACCAGCACACCCAGCTAATTTTTTTGTATTTTTAGTAGAGACAGGGTTTCACTGTGTTGGCCAGGATGGTGTTGATCTCTTGATCTCGTGATCCATCCGCCTCGGCCTCCCAAAGTGCTGGGATTACAGGAGTGAGACCACAGGGCTTTTACACATGCCATTCTTTCTGTCTGAAATACTTCTACCCTACCCTATTCCCTACTTTCCTTCATCAACCAAAAGTTAATGTCTTCAGAGAAGCCTTCTTTGATCACCTGGAGCAGAGGTTCTCAGACTTGAGCACACATCACAGTCTCTTGGGGACAGGTTAAAACGCAAATGCTGGACACCTTCTCCCCAAGCCCTGGAGTTAAGGGACTGAGGATCTGTGTTTCTAACAAGTTCACAGCGGACGTTGAGATGCCGGTCCAGGGACCACACTTTGAGAACCACTTACCTGAGAGTACACAGGTCCTTTGCATTATATGATTTCATAGCCCCATGTGCCTCTTCTTTACATAGTTTCATGGCTGAAATTGTACAGTTTTATGGCTGAATTGAAAGTGTTTTGGTGTGATTACTTGATTAACTCATCTTTCTTTGCCATTAGACTACAAGCTCCAGGATAACAGGGACAAGGGATGGCACAAAGTAGGTCCTCTGTAAATATTATTGAATTACTGAAAAGTGAATGATTGCAGAAAGCACAGAGGAAAATATATTTTAAAAACCTCAAATGACTACTCTGCAAACCCAAAGAGTCAGCATCAAATGGCTGCCTTTAGATCCAAATGTCTCTAAAGCTCAGTCTTCGAAGGGGAAGTACAAGACCATAAACCCCTAAAGGCCTGAGAATGGGCCATCCCAACCCACTCTCACCCTGGGGACTGACCCTCCCCAGCTAAGAGGGAGTGCCAGAAGGACACAGGGATGACATAACAAGTGGGTCCCATAGGTAAATGTCAGAAAGCTGGAACCCTGCCAGATAACAGGAGGCTTCCTAAAGCCACTTTTATTGACAATAAATTGATGATAAAGGAGATCAAGGGAGTTGCTGAGAAGAGAGATTAAGAGAGGCCGGAAGAAGAATATCCTTTAGGAGAAGAAGACAATGTAGAAATCATACCGTTTTGCTTATTTTTCATTTAAGAAAATGAAAATGATGAAAGAGCTGGTAGAAAGCAAAGTATGGGCTCTCTAAGAAACAAGCTGAAATGTTAGGAGACAAGACATTGCAAAGTGGATCACTAAGTTCTCTAAAATAATCAGCACAAAGAAAGTCAAAAGCAAGATGCCATTTTCTGGTGGCTTCTCTAGAGATGGAGAAGAGGGAAAAAAGAGAGATGCCAGAGACAGGCGAGGGCAACAAGATGCTGTTAAAACTTGGATGTTATTAGCAAAGAATGTAAAGTTTTCTATCTGCATTAAAATAGCAGAAAGAGCTTCTGAGAGAGAGCCTCTACACCAGCCCAAATGCCCCCAGGGCACAAAGAAGGCCGCAGGTCACCTTAAGGGAGCCGATGGCTGATGAGATGTCTTCTCCAGGCTGTGCCTCTCAGATCCCGAGGATGAACTCCAGAGCAGATGAATGGCCTCAGTCTTTCGTCCAGGGCCGGCCGGTTCCTTAAACATCCCACTTGCCGGTCCTGGGTGGGGGTGACTCCCTCTGGATGTTACAGTTTTGAGAAAGTTCTGGCAGTCTCCAGGAAAGGCCAATTTATGTGGTTGACCTGCAAATATGGCGAATTCAAGTCTGTCCTGAAGCAAGTGTCCGGGGGGTGAGTGGGGACACTGGTGGCCCAACCAAGAGGTAGCCTGTGGCTGGGTCAGGTCTTTCTCCATCTGGGAGCAAGAACCAGGATGGCTGCACATCAGGAACCTCTGGAAAACACACTTTTTCTGGCAGGAAAAATAGGGGATGTTTTAGCAGGAGCTCTTTTCAATACACAGTCATATGCTAAAGGCCTAAATTGGTGGAAAACTTTTGCTTCATAGAACTTTCAGGGAAACCGTAAGAGAGAGGGAATGCAGGGTAATGGAAAACAGATGGGTTTTAGAGTCTGAAAGAACTAGATTTGGGGACTAGCTCTCTCACTTTTTAGCTATGGGACATTGGCCAATTTCTTCTATGAGCCTCAGTTTCGTGATCTGGAAAAATGAGTGTAATGGCATCTTTGCAGGGACTGTGTGACCAGAGGAGAAGATGTATGTGTAGGGCCTGGCATTACAAGAAGTCAGTCCTCAATAAATGGTAGCCAAAACAGTTGTACAAACAGATCTTGCTCACCCTCATGGGCTAGTTTATAAATAACTCTTTCTAGACCTAGAGAAGTTCTAGCTATCCCTGCAGAGGTGACACCACTGACTCTCTGGTTTACAAACCCTATCCTTTACCTATCCAGGGGGGCCGCTGGTCTTGGCTCATGGAGGTTCCTCAATATCTCAGTGCTATGTTCACCCACTACAAATTTTCTCACCATCAACAAGCAAAGCTATCAAAATAGGCAAAATTTTATTTCTTCCCTCTTAAGCATTCAGAGCTTTGGTGAGGACCTTCCCAGGGAGATGGAGAGGTGGGAAGGCAGTGTGAGCCAGACCATAAACATAATTACAAGAACAGCAAACACTTACAAAGCCAACACTCTCACTCTACTAAACATTCCACATGCATTGCCTCAGTTAATCCTCAGGATTAATAGTCCTGAGGGTCCCAGGAGTTAGGAACCAGTACCATTCTCTTTTAAGAAGAGAAGAACTGAGGCTTAGATTTGGTGTAAGTATCTTAGACAAGGCTACATAGCTAGTAGGTGGTTTCAAATCCACAAAGTCTGGCCCTGAAGCTGTAGCTCTTAGCAACCATGTTAACTTCCCCGCTATGGCATGTGCACATGCTAAGGTGGTGGTTTTCACCCAGTACACCACAAAATACAGACCTTCCTCAAATTTTGTGTCCCCAAAAGATTTCAGAGAGCAGCTAACAGTTCACAGAGAAATGTTTCTTAGTTGTTGCAAAAGGCTCCATTCTGGCTCCTCAACCTTTGGGCTCAAAGACAGTTTGCCACAAAACTGGTGGCCACACAGGGAGTGGGAAGAGAGAGCACTGAAAAGAATGTCTCTGGCCTCTCATATGTCCCTGGCATGTTTGTGACTTGTACTTTTCTTCTTCCACAGCATTCTTAACAGAACAGCCAGTCCTGGGGAAAGTTTGGGTGTGGTCCTTCCAGAAATGGAGAGGCCTCCAGCACATTCATACAGGGAGAGACCTGGACCATCCAAAACACAAGGATGGGAGAACGGGAGGATTCAGGCCCTGCCAAGGACATCTCAGAGAATCACTTCTTCACATCTGTTCTGAAAAGGCTGTCCTGAAAAAGGACCTGTCTGTGACATGCTCTCTCTCCCCTCCCCCGCCACGCAGCAGGCAGAGGCCTTGGAGAATACAGGGGGAAAGTGCCGCCTGTTAACTGACAGATGAAAGGAATGTCCCTGCCCAGAAACGGCGGAGCGACTCCCAACGGATGGTGCCTGATAAACCTCGCAGGCTCTTTGTTGAAAGGCATTAACTGCAATAACAGAGGCCAGCCCTGGAGCCAGGCACAATTTCCTATTTGATGGGCAAAGAGAGTCCAGATGTGTGCTCCCTTCTGGGGATGAGAAAGTCATAATATCCAGCAACATAGGGAGGTATACTATACACACACACACACATGCAAGCATGCATATGCATGCATATACATATGAACACATTCATGAACACACTAACACAAGCACATTCACAAATACACACACGGAAACAAACACACACAAAAAACCCACATATACAAACACACACACAAATGCAAACAGAAACATACACAGGCTTCACTTCAACCAGAACAGCTGCTCTTTCATTTATTTCTCTCTGAGATTTGAACAAAGTTCTGCAGCTTAAAAAAAAAAAAAAAAAAGACCAAAAACCACTAGTCTAGATTTTTTTTAAAACACATTTTTTTTTCCTGCTTATAAACGTAATATATGCTGACTGACAAATTTGGAAACTATAGGAAACAGTGAAGAAAATAACAGTCACTAGTTAATCCTGTTACCCCAGAGGCTTCCCTTTGATGGGAAATAAACATTTGTCAGTTTCAAGAATAGCCAGGCTTTAGTCACCATTAAAATTCTCATAATCTCTAATTAGGAAATGAATATCAGGGTTGGCCAGAGAAAGAGAAATAAAATTGAAATTAGGAATACATGAGGAAGAAACAGTCTGAGGGAGGGAACTGGGGCATGGTTGGTATTTAAGAGTTTCTCTCTGAGAGTCAAAGGATGATGGGAATTAGATGGTGACTCCATTGATGCTGCCTGAAACTATCACTGAGGCATCAGGACAGAGAGAAATACAACCGCATTGCAAAGAGTGCCATCTCAGATTACTGCATCCTGTCAACGTAGGGTATCACACCCAAGAACTCAGAAAGGGTAAATGATACTGTAAGACCACAAGAAACATGTATAGGCTGACTGTAAATAAAATTATCCAAACAGGTAGCATATTAAGGAAAAGACCTCATTTCACCAAGTCTAGGAGGCATTCTGGTCAAAGAGGAAAGTTGGAAATGTCAAAGACAGTTATCTTGTGAATACTGTGGCAATAACCTTATAAAAAATTTAGGCTAAGGATAGCAAAGACGAGAATGTGGCGCTGTCAGCCATACCGTGTTCAGGACAGACATTACCAATGAACTGCAGCCCACTTTCCCACTAAGCATTGGTACAGCCTGAGAGTCCTCAGTAAGGCTCATGCAAGAGCTGGGGACAAAAGGGAAAGGAAACACCCAGAGGAGAGGGCTCTGAGCACAAACAGCAGTGACTAGGTCCATGAATGGGCTGGGGAAGCGTGTCAAGTCTGCAAGTGCCTTGAGAAGATAGCAGTTGACCTATCTGTGTGACAGTATCTTTGTGGGGAACAGTCTCAGACAGACGTTCCAGCTAATGCTTGCCTCTGAGTCTTGAGATAAAAGCAAGCATTCTTCAGAAGCTCTCAAACAGCTCTGCAAAGAGGCAGGTTTCAAAACCCGGGACTGGCAGAGCCAGGATGAGCTGCTTACCTGGAAACCGGCCCCACTGCCTGCAGAAATGGAAGATAATACTTTTAGTAAAGGGGGAGAGAAAAAAAGCGCAAAGTCTCTTATGAGGGCACTGAAATCCCTTGGCCTTCGATGTTGATCCGGGTCCTAGCAGATCCAGTGGAGACAAATCCAGCCAAAACAAAATCCCAGGCTAAGGTTTGACAAGAAGTTCATGGCCTGTTTGGGTTAATAATCTCAGCAGACTCATAACAGGTATTGATTAAGAAATGGGTTTTTGATTTCTTACATAATCTATATATTAATAAAACTGTCTGGGTGTGGTGGCTCACACCTGTAATCCCAGCACTTTGGGAGGCCGAGGAGGGTGGATCACTTGAGGCCAGGAGTTTGAGACTAGCCTCAACAACAGGGTGAAACCCCGTCTCTACTAAAAACACAAAAATTAGCTGGGCATGGTGGCGCATGCCTGTAATCGCAGCTACTTGGGAGACTGAGGCAGGAGAATCACTTGAACCCAGGAGGCAGAGGTTGCACTGAGCTAAGATGGTGCCAATGCACTCCATCTGGGCAACAGTGAGACTCTGTCTCAAAAAAGAAAAAAAAAAACTGGTTATCAAATTAAACAAAATGAAACGAGATATAGCCCTGAGATGTTCTAATTGGATAATACCATGTCTCAGAAGAATATACTATTCCCAAAGCTTTTGTATCTCATAAAGATAACTTTTACAGCAAAAGAGTGGTGGATTGGGGTTGCTTTAAGGAAATGAAACTCACGTTTTTTTTTTTCCTGATATTCAAGTTAAAGGACAAACTGCTTTTCATTGATTGTGATCTGCATGTTGGTGTCCCTTCTCCCTCTGTGGGGAAGACTTGACGCTTTATCATGTGGGAAAACAGTCTCATGCACCCAAAGTGTTATCACTCACATTGCTTCCACTCATCTGTGGGGTGAAGAGGGAGGGCCCATGGCTTGCTGAGAGACTGAGACCCATGTGAGAGGTCGAGTCTGCAACTGAATGTACAGCCTGGAAGGATGACAGGTGTGTGCAAGTTGAAGCACCCCACAGCACAACCGATAGTCCCGTGGTACCACTGTTTCCCATGAGGGCTACAGGGACAGAGGTGGTGGTGACCGTAGCTGCAGGCTTTGAGCTTGCTATGGGCCTGCACTTAGATCCCCAGAGCCACTCAACGCCAGGACACCTTGGGAGGGCTGCTCATTATCCCCATTTTCTTGATAAGGGAATCAATACCAAGAGTAAGCACCTTGTCCAAGGTCATTCAGCTGACAAAAGTGAATCTAGGCTCGGAGCTGACATCTGGCAGATCCTGAAACTATCCTCCCTTCAGAGGCCTCCTATTCTATGAGTGCCAACTGGTCAGTTTTCAAAGCAGTCCCTTGCCTAAGAGAACTTTTGCAATCATGGAAAGTAGAAATTTGCTTATTCTGAAGAGGGTGTATTTAGATAACCTCCCCAAACTCCCTCTCACCAGGGCAATGTATTAGAGGTTTCCACCAAGTGCCTAAGACAGAACAGGGCTGGGCTGCGCTCGGATCTGGGTGGGGGCGTGGGGCAGCCCCGGGAGGTCTGTTGCTCCCATCTGGCTTTGCAATGAGGGGTGGCATTCCCTGAGTGTGTGTTTATGCCAGG